AGGGAGGGTTTGTCCCGCTCAGAGCAGGTGGCACAGGCACTGGTGGTAGATCATACTCGAGCGCAGGACAGATGCAGGGGTGAGTGAGTGTGGCGAGTGAGGGTCGGTCCCTCAGCACATACGCATCAGATCTCTTCCCATGAAGAGAACTGATTGTGGACAATGAAGAGGGGTGGGCTTAGGAAGCTGGAGGAGACCATTGTGAAAGCAACCTTGGAAAGTATGGTGTCAGGTCCCTGCACAGGGCTAAGAGCCCTGTGAGTCATCTGCATGTCAGGTGGGATACTGGACTTTGTGGTACTCTTTCTGGTACAGGCTGGGAGGAAGCAAAATTGAGGTTAGCCACATTGGTCTTGTGTTTTTCTCTCTCAAAGGATTAGCACAGTAATCTGACAGAGATAAAGAGATTTGAGAATGGGACAAGAGAATAATAATTGTAGGAACCATAGAAACTCAGCTGCTCTAGGATGGAAGCAACGATGTGACAGGTGACAGGAACATCCAGCAGAGTCACTGGCTAGGAGACACGAGGAGGAGGGCCTGAGGAAGGCTGGAGCGGCAGTGGAATGTAAGATTTCCTAGGAAGGGAAGAAAAGTGGGATGCTTAAAACGGAGACTTCAGTGATGGTGCTGGTATTTGAAGCAGCCTGGCATAAGACTTGACCATGGGTGCTGGCATCTGATCTTCAGGTATAGGAGAAGATTCTGAGTAAAGGAGCTAAGTGCCCATGTTGGTGGATGGGGTGGGAGCAGTGGAATGGGAAAATAGTTGTTTAGGGGCTAAAACACTGAGTGCATGATGAGAAACATCTGCGGCTAAAGAGACCCGAGGAGAGGGACAACCCAAGGTCCAGAAGCATCAGCAAAGAGCCCAGCTCACCCTTAGCCAATAGCCTGCATTGTGGGTCAGGAAAGCATCAGTCCTGGGAAGGCTACACGGGCAGTGGGGTCTCCAGGAGGCACAGTGGTGGGTGAAGAGGATGGCTGGGAGGGGGAAAGGTCCGAGGTGTGCAGGGGGAGTAGAGTTTGGAGCATCCTGGAGATGGGTGTGCAGATGGAAGACAGAGAGAGCATTTGGGTTACTCTGGCAGTGGGTCATGAGGAGCAGGACAGGAGGACAACCCTGGTAACTTAGTTCCTTTTGTGTGTGTCTCTCTCTAAAAGGACATGTAAAGCTGGGTAGTTTGTCTAGGCTTGAGGTTCTGGGGGCTGGAAGCCCAGGGTCCAGCAGCACAGCTCAGGAGGACCTCCTGCCCTTTGGAAAGCCAGGGGAGCTGGCAGTGGAGCAGGCTCATCTGGAAGAGGAAACACAAGTTGCCTCACTTTTAACAGCAGCTCTATAGCGGCTCCACAGCCTCCTCTGACTCAGCCTCTGAGTCAGAGGCATGGGGAATGGTTGTTTTGTGAAGAGAGAGCTGGGAGGGACCATGCACATTTGCAAAACCAGGTGGGGTCATCAGGCCTTCCCTTGGAGGTAAGGCTGTGCTAGTCTGGACCTCATGCACACAATTCCACATTCTGTTACTTTCCACTCTAAGGAGGGTGCCCTCTGCATGAGTGGGTCACAGCTGGGCTTAGCCCTCCAGGGCCTTGGGGTAGCAGGTATGCACAGTTTAAAAATAAAAAACATCACTCAGCTCTGGACTTGAGCCACGAATGGTGCTTCTCATCAGCTACCCTTTCTGCTTAAAGAGCTCTAGTGGGCTCTGGAGGTCTTGGCTGGCCAGTAACGCTTAGTTTTTCAAGCCACTTTGCAGCAAGCAGCCTTTAAGCTGGGCAGTTTTAAATTTCACTCCTCTCCCAGGTGTGCAGTTAAGAGGGCTATAAAGAGAACAAGGAAATAGGCCACTGGGAGCCACTCCTCCCCCTCCTTCTCTGTAGTCTGGGAGTTCAAACAAGGCAAAATGTTTTTAGCTTTGCTTTCTCAGGCAGCAGAGCAGGCTCCAGGTCCTAAGAGTCCCTGGGCCTCAGTATGGCTGCTAAGGCCATGGAGCCCAGGTGCCACAGGTCAGTTCTCTTCTATCAAAGGCTGTAGGGTCTGCCTTAGAGTGCTTTTGCATTTGCTGATCCTTGGGCAAGGAAAGTTCCTCAGTGAAACTGCCACTGCTGCCAACTTCCTCTTTGTCCTTCAGAGCTCACAGAGGTCTCGGTTTCACCCACGTGCTGGAGTACTTACCTTTTAGTACATTGTGCTCATCAGAGACGAGCTGTCTCAGGGCACCCTGCCACAGCCATCTGTTCACGGGTCTCTGTCCCAAAACACCCAGGAGCTTTAACACCAGGGCGTCTTCAGTGTGGACATGGACAGGGATGATGGGCAGGTGAAGGTAAGTATTTAGATAGTGTTCTCAGAGCATGGATGGAAGGATCTGCATTATTTTACAGCAGAAAGTGTCCTCAGGATGCCTGTTTCTTGTCACCCATCTCTGGGAGGTTATTTGTATACAGGGAAACTGGAATCCCTGGGACTGGGACAGAGATTCTTCCAGTGAGCATGATGCTTACTTGTTTTTGGTCAAATGGCAGGAGCCAGAGCTCCGCTCTGTGCCCTGGGAGCTGGAACGCCCTTCATTTGGGGGCAATTTGAGGGCTGCTGGGTTGGACTGAGAAACACCTGTGAAAGCAAAGCACACCTCTGAAATGTGTCTGTGAGGGATTTTGTGGGGAATCAGCTGGCTTCAAAGCTCAAGGACGTTTGAGAACACCTGAGGATGTGACTCTGCTTGTTTAGTGCAACAGCACAGCAGGATACAGTTTTGTAACCATGACTTAGCACAGGTAAACATGCACGCACTGGTTACAGCACCGTGTAAGAGTGTAAACACGAGAAAACAACCTGTATAAGAATTATGCAGAGGAGACAGGCGGTTCTTGCTTCTTCTGCTCTGCTCTGCCTCACGCTGCCTGCCGTTGTTGCTGATGTCTTGTACACATGCATTCTTTAACCTTGGGACCTCACCCGTCACACCTGGCATGGTCTCTCTCGGGCTCCCTGAGTGGGCTGAGTTTCTGCAGGTGATTGACATGAGGGCCAGGCAACTGATGAGGAAAAGCTGCCCAGACTGTGACCAGCACCATCCAGTAGCTGGGAACCCACATGCAAGAAAGGCAGGGGAAAGAGAAGCCAGCCAGGCCTGTGGCTGGCACGCTCTCTGCTTCCAGTCTGCCATTGCCGGGCAGCCTTTGCCCCTGGTGCCCCTTCCCCAGGATGTTGCTGGCTCCCCATGGGCCTGGAAGCCATGGAACCCGCTGACCTCAGACTGGTGCCTGTGACATTACTGGCCAAAACAAACCCTTCCTCTGTGTGGTTATTCTCAGATATTTTGTGACAGTGACAAAGTCTAGCACAATTTAGTTCCCCCAGTAGAGCAGTTCTAAGCAACACCTACAGGGTAAAGCACACAAACGCATAATGCTTCGTAACTACTGTGATATCTGCTCCAGATTATTCTTATCCAGTTTGCATGTATGTTTTCTAAGCCTGTACATGAAGTAACAAACACACAGATGGACAGGCCGCTTGTGGTATCCGTTGAGTGCGAGACATTGAGATCAATAACGAAAATTAACAATGGTATCCTCCAGCAGTTAAACAGGGTAACAGGGAGAGTATTGTGTTCTTGTTGAAAGAGTTATTGCTAACTCTGTGCTGCTCCTCTGTTTGGTGGGACTTGAAGATCAAGATGACTGTCCAGTCATCAGAAAGCTATCCTTGCAGCCAAGGGTGTGTCCTGGGACAGTGCTCACTGCCCTTGAGTGTAACAGTGCCGCTGGCTGTGTGGGAGTTATTCTCACCTCACAGGTGAGAAACACTCAGAGAGGTCCTTGGAATACATCTTGTGTAAGTCATGGCAAGATGCACACTGAGGTCTGAATGGCTCTCAGTGGTCTGCAGTTTGATCACTGCCGTACTGCTTCCTAAAAGGCTTATTTCATTAACAAAACTACGTTAAAGGAAAGACTGAAAGAGATACTCGCACATGGGAAGCACAAAAGACAACTTCTACTTTGAGGTGTTAAGAAGCTTCATGGAGAACGGTGACTTGGCTGTTAAAAGATATCAGTGTTCATGCAGAAGGCAGGCAGAGAAGAAGCACGTGGCAGCAGCCAGGAGGACCTGCAGGAGGTAGGGAGGCAGGCCAGTGGGGAAGGAACCTGGAAGTCAGAGCCTTCACGGTACGTGAAGGACATCATCCTGGTGCAGTGAAAGGCGTAAAATGCTGTTATCAAGGCAAAGGCAAGGCCAGAGAAAGGGGCAGCTTGCCAAAAAAAGGAAACATAAGGCAAATATCAGAACACAATTGGCCGGGGAGGATGTTTTCATCAAAAGCCTGGAAAATAGATTAAAGGGCAGATCGACAGGGCAAAGATGAGTGGAATAGACAGTTTGGTTTGGAAGCAGAACACAAAAGCAGGTAGATTAGGAAAAACAGGTTAGCATTCATGAAGCTTTCCTGGATGCCAGCTGCTGTGCTTAGTTACCACATGGGACCTCTTTAAAATCACAGAAAAAGTCTAGGGCAGTAATATGTGTTTATTATGCCAGTTGCATGGTGGGAAAAGTTCGGCATGAAAGGTTCAGTAACAATCGTAGACAACCTGAACTCAGGCTGTTTGGTTCACAAGCTTTGCTCTTAACTCTTGTATCATATAGTTCCCAGGATGCCTTGAAGTGCTCATTAATTAAGATATGAAATGAACTGAAGAAACAGGCAAAAATATGTAGAGTTGCTGAGAGCAATTTGCCTATTTTGAATTTAAATTTCTTAGAGAATATACAGCGGGAAGTGTCTGGTTACTTGATTGGAAGGACGGAGCAAAAGGAATCTTAGGGGAAACAGTTGTTGTTATGCATACTCTGGTTGATACCAAAAGACCACACAAACTCAGAGGGGGAGCTAGAAACAAAAGCAGAGTATTGAGAAGAATAAACGCCGTAAAGACCGCTTTCTTTGAAAGGAAATAAACACAGAGACAAAGAGAATCTCCAAGAACACAAATCCCATAAACTCAGTCTTTATTTTTGATTTGCCTTTTGTGACTTATTTTCTTGCATGAGATTTATTCACCTGGCTTCTCATAATCATTGCCTTATTGAAGTGTGAAGAGACTCATTCCCCTAGAACAACAGCTCAAGAGAACCCTGAATTTTTCTGAAAAGGTAACATTACTGAAGATCACATACTTGCCAAAACTGGACATGTGAGCATTCATGTTTGAACACGAATGAGTGTGTTTTCAAAAGAGAAAAATGATATGGACAAAATTAGAAGCAGAAGAGTTGTCTGTTCCAAACTTCCGCCTGGTCCCTTCTCTCATATCTTGCTACAAACTGCCTTTGCCAGCTGTGGTGCAGAAAGAATCCCAGATGCCAACAGCCTGAGCAGGAGACGGTGTCACCACGTGGCACCTAATTTAGTGGTTTTGCTGTGGGGGACACACTATTCACCGCTGGCATTCCAAAGTGCAATTGTTGGGGAGGGGGGAGGTCTGTGTGACAGCACGGGTGCTCATGGGTTAGCAAGCATTGTCTCCCAGTGCCCGAGCAGAAGATAGGCTTCCTCCAGTAACCACCCAGCAGTTACAGGGATTCTTGGGAAGCAGACAGGAAGCCACGGTGCAACTGCTTAAACGCTATCCTTTGCATGTTCCCTATAAGGTGCCTCTTGCATAGGAGACACTCACGTGGACCTGGAACGGTGGACGGGCCCTGGAGAGGGGACGTCCTCACAGTCTCTCACCTCCTGAAACAAAACGAGCCTTAGTGCCAAGGGGAGAAGTCAAAGAGCAACCCAAAGGTACCTTGAGGTTCTCCTGTATTTTATAAAAGTATTTACATTTCGCTTTTTGGTCATAGCAAGGTCTGTTGGCACGAAGAGGACAGCCACAAAAGAATCTTTAGATTTTAGCAACTCATCTCATATATATCTGTATCTCTCTATATATATCTTTCTTCTCATCTCCTCAGCAAAAGGGGAAATAAAAATATTGATCTATAAAATAAAGAGGATGATAATGCCAAAAATAGCTTATGTTAAGTGCAAGGGGTAAAGCTTGAGAGCAAGCTAAATTGCAACCACCTATGGATTTAACATTTAAATACAAGACTTGCAATAAAATAATTCTGAGATAAGCTTCTTATTTTTAGTTTACTTTTAAAAACTATGCTATGTACACGTCTCCAGTTGTAACACTTGACAGTAGCATGACGCGCCATGGTATAACTTTGGTACACGCTGCGGACACGGATGGCGAATGGCTGTAAATGAGGTCTCACACCCACAGGGCTCTCACAGCCAGGTGACCAGTCACCGGCTCCCCGCCGCCTCCCACCAGCGGCCCCACAGTCCTCTCCGGAGCCCGCGAGGCAGTGGCGGAAGCAGGCTCACTGGATCCATATCGTGTTTCCTCGCTCGGGTCTCCTGGGTTCCACCGTCAGCTCCCCGAACGTGGAGAAGAACTGCTCCATCTCCTTCTGCAGCATGGCGTTTCTTTTCTCGGCATCCTCTTTTGCCCGCTCGGCATTTCGCATCTTGATTTCAATCATGGTGAACTTTTTCCTTTCTTGATCCAGTTCGTCGTGGAGGCTCATCATTTCTGTTTCCAAAGTCAAATTCCGCTGTTCTAAGCTGGGGATTGGGGAGAAGAGATAAAGAGAATGAAATGAGAGAGGGATGCCAATATTTTCTAAACTTGTCTACGATGCTCAGGAAGTTAGAATGAGCCCTTTCAAATCAGCAAAGCAAGGTCTAGTGATTAAAAGGGCTTATTTTTTGATATTATCTACACTGAAGGCCCAAGACATCTCTGGGAAATGAGTAGATGTTATTTAATAGTCAATGCATGCAAGTCACCACAGAGAAGCTAGCGAATCAATCATGCACCACAGATAGGCAGAAGTAGAAAACGGCCAATCCTCAGGAGCTTCCAGGATGCTAAAAGGGGCAAATTCTGACACAGTTGGAAAAAAAGGGGGACAACCACACTAGTCTTCTATCATGGGAAAATATTAATAGCAAAAATGTGATTGTTCTGAAATGGTGAGTTCATTGAATGAGGACACACCCAGTGTTAGTAAAACACACTCAGGGGTGTGTGTGGGGGCCCGTGGAGGCGTGGCCTTGTGGTCTGCATCTGTGCTCGGACACCTTCTCTCCCTGGCTCTGCTTCCCTGCAGCCAGGAACTAAGCAGCCCTGCCACCCTTCTACAGGTCATCCCTGCCTTGCAGCCAGCAGATCATAGACTGAATTCCCTGAGCCAAGTGAAACCTGCCTTTAGGTTGTGGTGTCAGTATTGTGTCTCTATGATAAAAAGCTCACAAATGCAGATGTTATGTATGACTAAGCCCACCTCTGAGAACAGGTTTTATTTTGCAAATAGATAGTCTCACAAGTAGCTACATTGACAGGAGAGGTAAAAATGTGGGGAGTAAGTGAGAACACTACCTGTTTTGTAAACATGGGGCCCCAGATGGTGGCCTGCTATCACCAACTTTCACTGTTTCCCGAATAGATAGGGGAACTTCTTTAAAAGCAGAGACTCTGTTTTTCTCAATAACCACTAATATCCAAGATATATATGTATATAGATATACGCATACATATGTATACATGTTTCAAAAGAGCTATCAAACACTGGTCTATTATATGAGACAGCCTAGTAATAGGATGGGCTTTTCATTTCTCCTTTTTTTGAGCTAAAACCATATTGGATCATTCACATTTAACAGATCACTGAAATTAGAAACGTTAATGTGTATACATATGTCTTTTATTTTTAGTAATAATTATAAAACGAAAATCACAATTATTTTTGCTTTTGAAAAAAATAAGCCACTGGTACCTGGCTATTTCATTCAGATAAGGGCTCTTAGAAGGACTCTATCACCCCTTTGGAAGCAACTAGAATTTTGTAAAAATAATATTTTTTTGTTTTGTGATAGTCAAGATGACTCTTTTAGGCACAACGCTGTTACGTAAGAACCTGGGACTGGGCTGGGTGCCACCCAGAATTGTAACACGGTGTACTCTCTTTGCTTTGTGAATCTATGTGGGAATTAAAATCATTGGAAGAAGCCAAAGCTTGATGAGGAGGATGACCCTTCCAAACAGCATGCTGATACATTTGTTCTATCAGGAACTTGTGTGAGAATTACAAGAATCTAAAGTAGGAGACTGAAGACATAAAGAATCCCTTCCAATACAAATGCATAAAAATGATGAAGAATGTAAGAAAAAGACTTTTTTAATAGTGAAGGTTAAAATAAATGAAGAAAATGCCTCTCAGTCATCAGAACCAACTCGTATAGTCCACTGAGCACACGGGAGTACTGGTCCCATGTACAGGCCCGAGAAACTGTGGCTCTTATACGGGAAAGGAAATGGGCTTCTGTACAGAAAGGCAGAAAACTGCAGGGGATCAAACAGAGTTTGGAGCACAAGATACCACAGCCAAGGAGGCACTGCTCACGGCTAAGGGAATGGCAGAAAGAACTCAGCAGCAGAGACAGTGAGTAACACAGCACATCTCACAGAACGGTTAACAACAGACAAAGACGTGAGCAGAGATGGAGGCCACACTGAGCAGGTCCAATACACGGGACTTGGTATGCTTGAGGAAGAGAGCCTGAGAAGTGGAGGAGATGAAACAGACAATTTTGCTGAATGAAAATATTCTAGATTTGAAAGAAGTAGGAGTCCTCAGATCAAATAATAAAACATACATATTGAAAGTCAAGGAATTTAAGTAACACAAGACAAAGTTATTGATAAAAAGGATGGTTAATGATTTTAATATCTGAAATGATTTTAATATCTTTAATATCTCAGATAAAAAGCCTTATTGTGATAAAAGGTGACATTTTAACAATAAAATAATAAATTTCCTAGGGATATATAAAGTCTGAGTATTTGGATGGTAGCAAATACTCAAATTATTCAATATAAAATTTAACAATGATGAGTAGTAGTTGGGAACCCTCAGAATAATGTTAGGAGACTTTAAGAAACCTTTCTCAGAAATTTTAAGTCTATTTGACAAAACAAAAAGAAATACAGACGATTTCAACATCTTGATGAGTAGACGATCTATTTGTCATATATACTATCTAAACTCAATAACGAGAATAGTTTTTACTGGATCAAATAATTGATATCACATAAATGAATTTCTCTCTATAGACTACAATATTTTCAAAGAAAATAAAGTTAGAAAACAGTTAAGGCACGGAGAGAATAACAAACTGACATGTTTAAAATTAATAATAATATGTCTCGTGGATAATGTAGGCAAATTAAATATTTTATGATCTGTCTCTCTCTGTTCACCCATACATCCACTCACCCTCGATACTTTATGGAGTGGGGTGAAAAAAAGAGTTTGAAGAAAAACATGTAACTCTGAACAGAGGACTGGGAATTAACCAGAACATTCAGTCTCTCATGTCCCCAGGGTTTAGGACTGTCCCCCTCTTCCTGTCTTTGGCTTTCCTGTGGGTGTCAGGGATAGGGTGAAATGGCCCATAGAAAGGCCACACCATTGGAGAGTTCTGCTATCTTATCTCACTGTCAGAAATACTTAACAGATCTTAGGGCATAAATTCATTATCCATATCCTCAGATATGAAATAATGGAAGCTTCAGACTGATAGTATTTTCCTGCTCCTAACAGATCTGGAATGTCATCCTTTGCTTTGAAAGAGAAGCTTCCCAGGGTACACCCTAACCTGTCCTAGAACGCTGGTCATATTCCAGAATCATGGTGGTTAATGGTTCCAAAACCTGTACTCAGGCTATGACCCTGCTTTTAAAAAAAATTAACCCTCTGGCAACTCAATACTACAGTTATATTGAAAAATTAAACCAGTTTTCCATTCAGTGGCGCTTACAAAATATTGGGTTACAGGAAGTAATCTTTCAAGCTCTTAAGTATTTTTGTTCGTATTTGGTTTCCGGAGCTCCTGAAAGAGTGTTATACTTTCTTCTAACAACTGATAAAAGGATGGTAAACATTAGGATATATTAAATCCAACTACATTATCTGTATCCTCAGATGTGTCCTATATTATCCGTACCCTTTTTATCTATGTGCCCTTTTTATCAGATGTATCCTACATTATCCATACCCTTTTAACCTATGTACCGAGTGTCACAGAAAGTCCCCAGACTCTGGAGCCATGGGATGAGCCGAAGTAGGACACACTGCTGAGGGTCCTATGCATTGTACAGGAAGAGGGTGCAGGAAGAGGCCCCCCAGATCACGCAGCTTGAAACTGGGACCCCTAGAGGGGATGCCTATGCAGGACTGAGACTCTACTCTGCTTCTCCTGACCCTGAATGTGGGGTTCCTTTCCCCACAGCACAGTGATGGAACCTAGAAACAATCCGCTTGCAGTTCCTGTGACTGTGGTGACAATGCGGACCCTGGACATTTCCAAGGCTCTGGCTCTGTGAGTGCTAGGCTGTATGCTCAAGAGGGCTTGACACCAGGAGCATGGACAATACAGGACCCTCAGCTGGTGCCCCCTCACCTGCCCACAGTGCTGTCCCGAGGGAGCAGCTTGGCAAAATTCTACCCCAACACCTCCTGAGAAGAGGCAAGTTGATAGGTCATATGGCCTGCACCAGATTGAGGCTCCAATCTCTCTTTTCCGTGTTAATACATCTGAAAAATCCTACATGGACCCCAAGACAGAACATGACCTTGCAAAGTCCTCTGTCACTTGGCACCTGTGCCCTCTAATTTGCTCATATAGATCCTCTGGGCTGAGCAGATGGAAGACTCTCTTACAATTCAACAACAAAATAAAGATCCACTCACTGTTTTTTTTTTTTTTTTTTTTTTTTTAACCTTGACTTTTTAACTCAGTTGTTTTTAAAACTCTGATTTTATCCTTGTCTTGTCAGTGGAACTGGCAGGTACCTAATTCGGTTTTTATTTCCTCACAGCCCTGTTCCAGGAAGCCCTCTCCTGCAGAGCTACATATTTAATAATAATTATAACACCATCACGCGCCTGTTCTGTGCCAGGGACCAGGTGCGGTGACTGCTCAATGCTTTTGAGACAGATGCAGTCAGAATCTAAGTTCTCCCATAGGGAAGCCAAGGAGCACAGAGATTAAACTAACATCCCCAAAGTCCCACTGCAGGCGCAGGGTGCAGTGAGGCGCTGGGTTTGGGTCTCTCTGCCTTTGCAGTCTGCACATTTATACCCTCACACGATTTCCGTCCCATGGGGGAAGCTCTCGCACCTCCCCACAGTCAGGATCTCCAGATTTTCCTCACCTCTTTATCCTGGTCTCATACTCTATCTTCTGTTTGGTCATTTCCTGTTTCAGGCTGGAGACTAAACTGTGCAGGGCACTGTGGTTGCTGGTATTGTTACCCACAAATGTCTCACTGTTGTCACTGCTGCTGGTGGCACGACTACTTCGACCTCCCACACTCCTGTGGTCACTTTTGCTTTCATAGTCCCCAGGGTGTGAAATGTTATCCTGGGGCAGCCCATCCAGAACAGGATCCTCAAAGTTCCCCCCGTAAAAGTCTTGCTCCGGGCAGGTGGTGGTGGAGGAGCGGCAGGAGTTGGAGTTCTCGGGGAGGGAGATTTCACAGGAGGAAGTGGACCACGTGGCACTGTCCACACTCTGCTTGTCATCTGGGTTCATCACGGAGAACTGCTGGTGGACATTGTCATAGGTGGAAAGCCTGTTGTGCTGGGCCGACTCTCCAGCTTGCTCCTTCTGCTTGTTGTCCCTCAGGGTCACATAGCCATTGGGCAGCCAACTCATGCTGCGACCATTCACGGGATTCCCGAGCATGTCGGGGTTCAGGATGCCCATACGCACCGTTCCATTCTGCACACTGTGCGTGCCCATTTTGGTGCCAGGCCCCTTCAGCGAAGAGGTCCTTCTGGCTTGCAAGCTGCCGTTAGGTGTGGTTTGAGCTTTCTCCAGACCTTCGGCGTTACTGCTGCTGAAGGACCCGTTGGTGACTATCCCGCTCCCCTTACTAAAGGCAGGGTTCTTCTTGACCATGAGCGGGGGACTCCTAGACACGTCCAGCTTGTGGATGCTGTTCCTTGGGCTGTTGGTTTTGCTACCTGGCAGAGCTGTGGGGGACCCACCATCCATGCTGCTTCTCTGGGGAGACTCAGACGTGTCCCAGGAGCACTGCCTCCCCGGGCTGTCCTTGGTGTTGTTGTTTGCCTTGTTCTGTAACTGACCCGTGGTAGCTTTCTTCTGAACATCATGGTTGTTGTTGCTCACTCCGTCCTGGGACACGCTCTGCAACTCTGCATCTCTGGGGAAGAGGCAGTCCTGTCTGCTGATCATCACTGACATCAACTGCTGGACCACTACGGTGCCTGAAACAGCACAGAGAAGGAAAGAGTGTGAGGGAGTAGGTGTGGCAGTTTGGTTCATGAATCTAATCCTTTCCACGGTTCTGCTTCCACACTGAGGGGGATAAGGACTGAATCAAGTTCAATGGGTAAGTTCAACGTTGGAGGACCTTGTGGGGAAATTTGATTCAGTTCTGATCCAGTTTGGTTTAGAGGACCAGAATCGTGGAAAGAATAAAGTTTGTGAACTGAGGTACCACTGTATTTCCTATTTTCAATGTGGGTTTTAAAGAAACATATTTGGGTAAAATTCAGCATTATTATCAGCTGTATCAGGTTATATCCTTGGTGATTATAAAAGCAATAGATGTTAAAATTTCCTGAGCATTTACCCTGTTCCATGAACTGTACTAAACATTTTATTTTTGTAGTTACATGATTTTAAAACATGTATATGTTTTAGTAATTTGATTAAAGTCACAAATCTACCAAAGACCAGACTTTTGGCTTGTACCGTTATCCAGCTCAACATGTAGACTCTTAATCATTGTACTACATTAAGTGCAAGTTTTACATACAAATAGGAGAAATCAGCTCAGGTTGATCGTTCATCAGAAACAGTAATTAAAAAATCAAGTGACCTCTCAGGTGCTATGCCATATCAGTTCTAATATTAAACACACCTTCACATATTGGTCTTTGCTGTATAAGCAGGGCTACTGTCCCCTACAACCAGTTTTAACAGCCAGAAGCAGCCGCCACTTGACCTGGTGCAAGGTCACTTTCTAACCTGAACCAACAGGTAATCAAAACAATTCCTATTCAAATGGTGAACAGGAATAGTACCTTATCCTCATCTACACCCTGCATACATTTTCTGGGATGACTCGAATTTGTATTTAGAAGTGTGCTTGTAGCATGCCAGGTCTCCTGCAAGACTCACATTGTTCATATTTTAATGTTCGGACAGATCACCTAGAGATCCTGGCAGATTACCTAGAGATCCTGGCAGATTCAGACTCCAATTCCATAGCCATCTGGTGGGACATGAGATTATATATTTCTAGCTGGCTTCCAGGTGACAGCAGCAATAACAGACCAGTGACACTAGCTTTGGTTGGGAATATTGCAATTTCAGGAGCTTCTGCAGACCTCCTGAACCAGAATTTGCACAGTAATAATATTCCCCAAGTGACTCCTGTTTGCAATAGAGTTCAAGAAATCTTGTAGTTGATGGGAGTGGTTCTTATATATCTTCCAAATTAAGTTTCTCAGAATTCTGTGAGGTAATACTTAACATTTTTTCAGATGAGCAAATTCAGTTTCAGAAAGGTTAAGCTATTTGCTGAAAGCCATACAGGGATAAGTAAGGGGAAATTTAATACTCATTTTTCTGATTCCTATTTGTACACTGTCTGGCTATATCTCACCTGCTAGCATTTGAATCAGTAAGAATCATAAGTAAATTCAAAAGACGACAATCTACTGAAACCCACAATTACGGCAGATTTGTGGGAGACAACAGACTGGAAGAGATTAACTTGTTATAAATACATCTGTCTTCTTTGAACACTCTCTAGATTTTAATCATATTTTCAGTGCAGTGAATTTGATGAAAGACTTTAGAGCAGCAAATGTCACCACTGTCATTCCTGAAGACATCATTTACCTGACGCTATTTTCCAGAAGACACACTCACTTTCAAGGACTTCCAGCTCCTGTTACAGGAGATTTTTGAGTAGTATTTAGGGAAAAGGAACCTTCTTCCCATCCCTGGAATATTAACACTGAGCTAGCATCTCTGCTTTCCATCACAGCAAAGAACTCTCGGAGGTGTTTAATTAATTGAAGAGCAGCTTCCCAAAGTGCCCATGAGTTTTGTGAAAGCCATGAGAAAGTGTGTCTGCCACAATTACAGGGCGAGTGTCAGGGCCCAGCAGGCTGTGAGCCCTCTTTCTTGTGTGTCGGGAGGCTTTGCCCCCATCTAGCTTCTGGGCTGACAAATGGCAACTGTCCTCTGCACGGGGCCCTCTGGGACCAGGCAAGGTTGGTAGTGATGACGAAGTGTGTGTGTGTGTGTGTGTGTGTGTGTGTGTGTGTGTGTGTGTCACTGTGTGTGCCATGTTTTTCCTTTTTGCTTTTCTCCTCCCTGTGAGTGCTGATAAGGGGCATTAAGCCTAAATGAGAGTAGAATGGCTACAATCACCAGGCTGTTTTGCAGAGTTCAAGGAGATTGTGGAGCCCACACTGTGCTACACAACCCAGCAATTCCTCCTGGCTCTACCATTTTCCACAGGTTGGATTTAAATATGTTACTGGCACTGCGCTTTATAGGCATTGACTAGGAATTCAATTTTCCCTCAAAAATATCTAGACAGTATTAAAAATGGATCATATATATTCATAAATGAGCGGAATTCTATGCAATATGTTTCAATTTATAAGAAGCAACCTACACATTTGTCACTTTGCTAGTCTGCAGGTATCTGTAAGGTATCTGATGAGTTCCGATACCAGCACAGTCCCAAGGAAAACACCTAATTAGGATAAAGCAAAGCTCCCATGTGCCCAGTGTATTTTCTGTGCCTCCAGCTGCAGCTGGTTCCTTGCCCCTTTGTCTTCTGCATGCCTTCTAACCTGCTCTGCTTGCTGGCTGCCAGGAGGTGAGATGGCTTGGCTCCCCCAGGCCCTATACCATGGTGCTCCTGCCTGGAGTCAGCTGAGCATGGACTGAATTCCCTGAAGCTGTGAGCCAAATTAACTTCATCTCCTTTAAGCTGTGGTTCATTAAATTCCAAATGATGGGAAAACTGACCGACATAACAACTGTGGGGAAGGAAGCAGTAGGAAATAAAGAGGACTGCGACAGGCCTGAACCTCCAAAATACTCCATAGGTTTCACTGGGAAATGCACAGGGCCCTTCCAGAAAAGCAGCCTTGGAGTGGGACCCTACCTCATTCCCTGCCCTGACAGACAGTGAGGATGGAGCGGAGAGCCCTCCAGCCCCGTGAACTCCTAGTGCTGACCAGCCAGGACCACCCTCCAGACAGGGCATGGAATCGAGGTGGAGCAGGAGACAGATGACCTGAAGGGGGAGGGCAACTGAAACAAAGGAGGAAGCAGAGCCAAGCTGTCTCAAGCAAGGGGCCATGCTTCTGAATGCGTATAAGAAAACACATGGGGTTCTGAGAAGCTGGAAAGGTTAAAACTGGTCTTTCACACATGTGTGGCTTATGACCGCACACCATGTGTAAAGTTGGCTGACTCAGGCTGATCTTCCCATTGGTGATGTACTTAGTTCCACTGTATGGAAGACACCTTCGTTAATCCAGCACTGTCGTCACTTGAAAAGTGTCTAAGTATTGGGAAGCTGTTAAGCTCAAGGTTTGACTACACCGCTCTTTTTACAACACAGTTCAAACTGTATGGAGGACAGCGAATCCAGCCAGCTATGTTTCTTGAAATGAAAAGTTAACTTCATACTTTTTGAGACCGTATCTGCTAATGCTCAAGTTTGAGTAATCATAGTTTGGAGTTGCGTGGGCCAGCATGGTGCTCATGCCTGCAAACCCAGCATTGATGGAGGGGGGAGGCAATGTGTCAATCACTATATTAGTTTAGAAACAGTATACAGAAAAAATGCTTCATACATTGAGCTCATCACTTCCCCAATAATATTTGAAAAAATGCTCAGTTTGGAAATGTAATACAGCTCGACCCAATTAATATTTTTTATTGAATGCTCTGCAAGTATCTCCCTCAGTAACATTGGCATTTTATTCTCTGTAGCAATTGGATGGCAGTAAAGAACATGATGCAGGTCCTGGGCGTACCATGGACTGAGGTGTTTCTTCTCTTGCCCATCATTGTTTCTGCACCCTAATGCAAACGTCAGTGCAGTCAAAAGACAGAAAGCAACTCATACTACTTTTGCTTGAGCCTGTGGAGCTCCTGAATGTAACTTGGAGGCCTCCAGGGAGCTGGGGACAACAGGCTGAGACTCACTGGGCTTGAGGAACATAAGTATGGTAACATGGGAAGGGGCTACATTAATATAAAATATGATTAAAATGTATGTGTGTGGCTAAGCACAAACATGGAGAAAGTACAGTATATATATGTATACTCCACAGGATAGATATGGTACAAATATTAAAATAATGAAAGGAGGAGTAGAAATGCATATTTAAAGTTTTTAAATGCTTTAGTAATCACACTGGTGTTGATAGTACTAGTATTATTGTTCTAAAAGTTTGGTGTGTGATGAGATATATTGCAGACCAAATAGAGTAGAGCAAATATTAATTATGAGTTAGTCTGATTCTGGCATCTTTAATGCTTGGGAGCATCAGGAGTATTTTACATGAGGATGATGGAAAGAAAGAATAAATAAAAAGCCTGTGGTCATCATTGTGAAGTGTGAGCACAGCGTGAACCTTCAAGCCACTTTTCCCTCAGTGTGTACATGTGTGCACATGGTATTTGTGCATATGAATTTAAATCTGGTATCCACGAAATAGCCTAGATACAGTGACCAACCCGGTAGTGAAGAGTATCACTGGTACTTAGATTTGGGCCTTGAAATATCATTTCTCCACTAAAAACAATTAAGATGTCTTGAAAGTGGCCAATTCTGGGTTAGAACAGGAAAGCTGTTGTGAGCCAGGGAAATGTCTTACTAAAGAGAGGATGCCATCTAAAATGCCAAGGTTATGCCAAATGACTAAACAGATAATTTGAGAAGGCTTCCATTGGCCAAAGGTGGGAAAATATGACTAAACGTCAGTAGAGGCCAATGATGACAATGCTCTGATCCAGCACATAGATTTGGCAACTTGATTCATAATGCCATTTGTGATTGGAAAAGTAATACTCACTTTCAGAGAACATCATCAATTGATTTTGTTGGTTTTAAAAACAGGTAAAGGAGAGTGTCCCAGCAGCATTTAGAAATATTATCTTCCTTATCTGAGTTGCCCATCATAGGCAAATTCATGGTGACAGAAGGTAAACGGTGTTTGCCACAAGCTTGGTGATAACAGGGATGAGGGTTAGTGCTGAAGGGTTCAGGGGGTGAGTTCTACAAAATGAAGAGGTTGGTGGAGATCCATACCAATGAGGATGCAGTTAAATTGAACTGTATACTTAAGGATAGCACAATGATAGACTTCATGTATATTTCACAAATAAATAATTAAAACAGAAAAAACAGAGTTAGAATATAGCCATTTCAACTACCAGTGAATTCATGGTAGGGACTGTGAAATTCATAAAACGAAAGATAAACAGACATTACATGATTGCTGGTTAAAGAGCACAACACCATCTATACTCATGCCAAGGGGATCACAGAGTTGGTCCAGGTTCTAACTTGTAGAACATCCAAGTTAGAAGAATAGGTTAAACTTCATTGTCAATACACAACCAACATAATCTGGCCTATGGAAAACTACAGGTTAGACAACCAAATTTTCCAAATAACAAGTTCTAGGAGATGCATAAAAGATTCTTAAAAGATATCAAGTAAAAGAAGAAAAAAACACAATATAATTCCTAGAGAAGACAGTGAGGCGAAGACAGAGAAGGAAGAGATTGGTGTAAATGTCTGAGTCTAAGGACAGAAGCATCGTGAGTGGGTTTGTGCGTGGCGGTGATTTCTAGAGCGTGGGTCTTCGTGACAGGTTCAGGTTTGTGTGCGTGTGTTTGCACGTGTATGCTGACTTCTTTTACTGTGTAAATTTTAATTTATAATAAAAGTTTAAAATTGAGCTAAAGTATCTCTAAGATTTTTATAGATTAAATTTTAACAGCTTTTAATGCCTGCTAAACAATTCATATAGGAATTAATTTTTCTGAATTATTTTATTGCCAAAAATATGACTCTCAATTTATGTTTATCTCAGTAGTAGACACGGAAATAAAGCTGAGGTGTCCTGGGTACATACCAAAAACCTTCTCACACATAGATATAGAAGTATGAAAATCTTAGAACTGCCAGGAAAGGAACAAAATCAGGGAATAAAACACTTATAACTGAGAATGATATGTTGTTCTCCATAAACTCAGAAAGAAAAGAAAAATAAGTATTTTTTCCTCTATTAAGTTTTTAAATAGTTTGTGGAAAACAAGGACACTCCTAATGGCCATAGCGCAAAAGCGCTGAGTCTAGAGGAATTAAACAGGAGCAGTTTGGTGTGGAAGGTAACTCGAGTCATTTCTAGTTGGCTTACAAGATTTCTTTTATGTTTTAGCCCCTCAGTGCATAGCCAGCATTGTTTTAAAAAGCATCCACTTTCTTGACTTCCTGGAACCAGTCAAAAGAAAACCAAATTAATAAACACATACAAACTGAAAAGAACTTTGAAATTGCTGAAAATTGCCCAGGATTTACAAAGAGATCTTTTTTTATAGTTCTTTCATCTGATACTTTAATATTGATTTATTGATTTATGCATGTTTTACTTGTTCTTGTAAGGCTACTAGGGAATCATTTTATCATTTTCTGATTAGTAACTTCAACAAAATGGCTAAGCATCGAAAGAGAAGACTTGGTATTTAAAGAATAAATATGAGTCAGGACATGGAGCTGTCATGAATTTGCCTATGTTTTCTTTTTAAGTTTGTTGAGACTCTGGTCTGTTGTTTAAGTCTGTTGACTCTGGTCAACTGCTTTTGATGGGGCTGTGAGATCAAGATTGGATTCTGGTCAGCTAAGTGAGACTTGGTTCATCTTTAGACGAGGTCGTGAGATACTCGTTCACACACCTTCCATGATGGTTAAGGGATCCTCCACCTTGGGACGCAGGATATTGGGGCCAAACACAGTGGCCAAGTTCTGCACGCTCATTTTGTTCACTCCAGAATAGGACTGCACTTCGTCCAAGAACCTGTTGGTCACAAGAAGAGGATTGAAACACAATGAGGTTAAAGTCAACAGGAGATAGAAATGGGTGGCTGGGACATTTCTAGACTGAAGCACAGGATGGCTGGAGATGGCTAAGCAGACAGAATTATTTGGAAATTCAAACGTCTCTTATTCATACTTAGAGAAAGTACACAGCAAAATATGAAGAAACAAAATTTAGGGCTCATATCAGACACCTGTTCTGGTTCACCTGGCAGGGTTTCTTTGTTTAAGGAGCAGGGTATCGGGGAAATGTGGACATGGACTTATGATATGGATACAAAAGTCAAGGGTAGGTTTTCCCTTGCTGATGTTTACGTCAGTGCCTCCCAAAGGCTTAGGTATTAATTGCTTGGTTCCCAGCCTGTGATGCTTTGGAGAGATGACCACATTTTAAAAGGCAGAGCATGGCAGGAGGTTTTCTGGTCAGTGTGGGTGAGGTCTGCTGTGAGGTTATTGCTATGAATGCCTGCCCTGCTAAGTTGCACTGCCACGGGCTACAAGGATCAGGGCCCATCAATTATCCATTGATTCCTTTAGATCAGCAAGCCAAAATTAATCTTCCCTCTTTTTAGATTGATTACTTTGGATATTTAGCTGCTGTCACATAAAGCTGACTAACAGATCTAAGCCTTCAAAAAAACTGGTTAGTGCTGGGCTATGTCCATACTCTCAGTACCGAGGAGGTTCAGTCAGGAGGATCACAAGTTTAAGCCCAGCTTGGGAAACCTAGAAACTTAGTGAGACCTTGACTCAAAATAAAACAATTTAAAGACAGGAGTTGGGGAGCCAGTTATGTCAAGGCCTTGGGTTTCATCCCCAGTGATGCCAAAAAAATATTTAATACATATGCTCAGTTGGAGAATTTGCTATTAAATCCTTTCTTTGATAGAGGAACACTAAATTCTTTGTGGAGGAATAAAAGCTTCATATTAACAGTTTTAAAAATAAGATCAAACATTGTGGAAATTAAAGCATTAATTCTCCTGACATGAAAAACTGCAAGCCCAAATTGTTTTTAACTTATTAAGTACTAAAGAATTAAAGGCATCCAATAATCCTTTCCCAGGACGGTTCTCACAGGAGACTGGTTTTGTAATCTTTCACCCTTTTTTTCATTTCCCGCCTCCTCTTCACTTCTACAAGAGCTTCCGCTATTTCATGGGCTGCTAATTAAACTCATGAGATTAAAAGGAAATGATGCAAAATACAGACATCATGTTTATGTGGCTGGTAGTGTGAGAGGCAGTCATGCTGGCTGACGTCTTGGAGGACTTCCTTCAGGTAGGTACAATTATGCTTTCCATTCTATAGATGAGAGGGATGAGGTCCAGAGAGGTTAAGAATATTCACTGAGGATCTAGGATCAGCGTGCAGCAGGGCTGAGGCTGGACGCCAGGCAGCATGTCTCTACTATGAGCTGCTGACCACATTTTACTATTGTGATATGGTTCTGTTATGGATTAAAACCTGGTGGTCAACTCAACGCCAACTGAAATAAATCACCATGGTTCTGAGCATAGATGCTCCACCTGAGGAAAGTTGCCAGTGTAAATAGGGATGTGGAGAAGAGAGGCATTGAGGCGTTGTGGGTTCTCCTGTGTGATGCTGTTTGAGCCGTTGGTTCTCCTAGAGGAGCTGGCATGACTAGCTTCCCCATTGTAGGTTCGACCACTGTCATCGGGGGAGCTCAGGACCTTGTCAGTGAGAGTGGCTGTGGTTCACTTTGGGGAGCTGGTCCTTACACTGAGCATTGCTTCCTGGCTCCAGAGGGGAAGATGTGTGTTGTTTAATCTCTAGCACCACTCATGATGCTGGCTTCCTGGCATGTACTTGACTGTTCTTATCATCGGAGAAGCTTGGGACTGCCGTGTTGCTGAGGATGGCTGTGGTAATTTTCAGGACAGCCCTGGTCTTTATGATGAGTGTCACTTCTTAGCTCCAGCATAGAACCCTCAACCTACCAACCAGCACAGCTCCTTCACCCACTGGCATAGACTTTCTGGCTTCCACTACTGATCTTTGGACCTTCCCAGCATGCATCCGTAAAATGGACTCGGGAGAGTTCTTTTTGTGGGCTCAAGACCTCCAGCTGAATCATGGCTCTGGGTTTTCATCTGGACTCATGCAGGGCATTGCTGTGGGATCCAAGCCCTTGGCTGAATATTCTATGTTCTTAATGTTGTGGACAGATTTTCTGCACTGTGTTAACTCTGGGTGACAATCATAAAATAATGTTATGAATTCCATGTCCGGATTCTGATTATTGTCCTTACAACCCCTGACTACAACAGGTTTGAATTACAAAAAATGGAAGGCAAAAAGTAAAAATTAAAACTAAATTAAAAGTCTCCTTCAATGTTTCAAAAGAGAACTTAAGTATTTCTGTTCTGGGGGCTGGGAATTTAGCTCAGTGGCATAAGCACCTGCCTTGCAAGCAGGTGGTCGTGAGTTCAATCCGCGGTACCGATAAAAAAAAAAAAAAAAAAATCTGTTCTGGTTACAAAGATTGCAATACTGTTGTTCTCAAACAAGTTTTTCATCTCTTATACTCAAAGAAGATATAACCCCCCCCCAACTGCTCCAGGAACTTGAATTAGCTTGAAATATTGGGATGAAAACTTTATGTGTTAATAGGTACATGCTGTCAGGGGAGCTATTTCTTGCTTTTTAAATTGTGAAACTTAAGATTCACAAATGGTGCTTATGGTTGCTGACCATAAGCACAAGTTCTGCTGGGGGGTCTTGGGTTTCCTTCTCATCCTCCTTGCCATGAACTGCAGGGGGTCCCGCTGTGGGTTCAGCTCTACAGCTCCCAGAGCTGCATGACACATGGGTTTCCACTATCATAGTACCTAGGAGCACCCTGAAGCGCAGAAGCCTATGACAGTTGCACATAGACCGAAGGAGTCCAGGGTGGCCCCTGCCTGCCACATGGATAAGGGGCAGCTTCTCTTCGTTAGTGCCCATGCAGGATGTAAATAATTCTGACCCATGTTCAAAGCAACAGGTCTTTACTATGTGGAGGCAACAGAGGTATCACCACCATCAAATCACACAACCAAGCAGTCGCAGTGCTCAAAAACTTTGGAAATCACCTTATCAAACCTATCCATTTTCTTTTTTCTTTCTTTGTTTTTTAAACCTTTTAATCTTCTGGAGACTGATGTGGGCATTCAGAGCAGTTTGTGATTTTACTCACTGTCAAGTGTAAATTATTGTCAGAGTAAGTGTAGATTGAGTTGTTTAGCTTGTCTTTAAAAGTTCTTACCTGCAAATGTACTTGAGGAGGTTGTAATTAACTACTGGCAAACTCTTCACTTGCTTTGCTAATTCCTTAACTCCCTGCAAAGAAGAGAACACATGTCATCTTTCTCTGTGCTCGCCTTAGGACTAAAGCAAGTGGGAAGTGCCATACAAGTATGTGTGTACAACTGAGTACAAATGTCAATTTTTCACATGGGAAGTGTAAATTGAATATTTATATTAAGTATATTTGACGAAAAATAAGCTCCAATAATGTGAGGGTTTTTCCCATTTTTACAATACTTGGAATTTAGACAAACATGGCTTTTGAAAAATAAGTGTCTCTGAACTGTCATGTCTAGGATACGTCATCTTGGGTGGAAAGAAGGTTGGAAACTGCACAGGAATTAATTTCTTTGGTTGTTCTGGTAGAGCTTCCTCTAACATGGAAACGGTTCCCGAAAAGCCAAATGATAATGTACTTGGATTTATTCTTCTGCAAAGGGCCAACTAGTAAATATTTTTCACTTTACAGGATAGATAATCTCTGTCTCAGCTGCTTGACTATTCTGCTGTAGTGCAAAAGCAGCCACAGACAGTATCATGTAACAAATAGAATCAAACAGCGTTTGTAAGGTTATGAAGCAAAAATACCTAATGGGGGAAACAACCTCTCAACCACTGGTTCTGATATTCATAAACAAACAGCGAGCTATCCGGCTATGAAAAGATGAGTTTGGTGCTTTCGGTCACACGATATACACGATCCAGAAACCAATCATGTGACCTCCATGCGAGAGCTGAAGCTGTAGAAGTCTCAGAAGAACATACAGAAGTAAATCTTTTTGAGAGTTCTTAGCTCTGCTATACAAAGCACAGTGACAAAATAAAAACAGAGAAACTACACCTCATAAAAATGAAAAAAGAAAAAAGAACCTCTTGGGTCTTCAAGAACATCAAGAACATAAAGAGAGAATCCATAGCAGGAGAGAAAACATTTACATATCATATATCTGATACAGGCCATTTAATTTAGCGAGGCAAATACAGTTGGCCCTCTATGTCTTATGGATTCAACCAACTACAGACTGAAAACAATAGAAAAAAGTCTGTCCCAAATATATATATATATATATATATATATATATATATATATATATATATTTTCTTTCCTGTTTTGTTCTCTAAACAATACAGAATAATAGCTATTTGCAAAGCATTTACATTGTATTAGGCATTCCACGCAATCTAGAGATAACTGGAAGTATACAAGAAGATGTCCACGGGTTCCATGGAAATATTACACTGTTTTATACATAGGACTTTACCTGAAACCTATCTCCCAAGGAACTTGGATGACTAGAATTCAATTAAAAATGGGGAAATAATCCAAAAGATATTACTCCAAAGCAAATACATGAATAGCCAAAATGCACATGAAAAGATATTCCACATCATTCGCTACATGGAAAAAGACATTCACAGCTCAGTGTTAGACCACTCCACACACATCAGGATATAGATGAGAACGGAGACCACAGAGAGGTGGAGGAATTGGCTTATGCACACTTCCCTGGTGAGAATTTAAAGTAGCGAAGCCTCTGCAAAACAGAGTTGCATACAGCCCCAAAACTCTAGCTTTGAGGTGCATTCCCACAAGAAAAGGAGCTACATGTTCATGCAAAATTCGTTAGAGGAATGGTTACAACAGCATTATTCCTAAACTCCAAGCAAAGGGAATCAAAGCCAATGTCTTCTGGTTATTATTTGGAAATAAAAGCAATGAAATACTGCTATGTGGTTTAACATGAATGAACCTTAAAAAGATGGAAAAAGGCTAGTCACAAGGAAGAACCACTGAATGACTAAGTTTGTATGGAACATTCTGAAGAGGCAAGCCTGTAGGAAAAGAGATTTGTCACTGGTAAGAGCCAGAGAGAGAAGGCATGTGCGAGGGTCTGGGGTTTGTTTGAGGATAACAAAAATGTTTCATGTGTGCTATTCTTAAAATTTTGGTGATGGTTGCACAACTCTGAAAATATTTTAAAATGTACTGCACTGGACACTTTAAATGGATGATTGTATAAATTATTTCACAATAAAGCTGTTCATATTTACCAAATAGACAAGCGGGAGCCGGTTCGGAGGTTATTTTGTGAGGTGATTTGGGGTCACAAGATGAAAAGGAGGCTATGAAACCAGTCAATTGCACTTTTCGTAGTATATGTAGGGTCCTATAGTGAATCATCCAGGGAGCAGAGGGCCAAAGGATACTGATCTCATTTATTCAGTTGTGTTCTCCTTTGTGGTCAGACTGGGCTCAAAAGCGGACTCGAGCTGTGTGTGGAAGGTCTAGATGTGTGTAGTGTCAGCACACAGCAAAGTAGAAAACAGTGTAAGGGCAGTGCAAGCAGGAATTGGAGAATCACAACCTAAGACGCTGAGAGAAACTCCAGGAAAGCCCGCTGGAAATCAATGTATTGACTTACCGCGTCTTCTTCCTTGCTGAGCAGTTTGGCACAGGACAAAAAGTCTTCATACTTCGCATAAGGAATCACCGGCTCTGGGAGTTCGCGGAGATACAGCTTAAGAAGCGATGCCACCGTGTGCACGTCCGTGTTGCTGCAGAGACAGGTGGGGATATTCTTGGAGCGCACTTCTAGCACTGTGCTTATTTTCTCATCCAGTACATAACAGAGTGTCACAATTCTACCCACATCTGCATTCAGGCAGTCAATCCAGGTTCCAGGGAACACAACCCCTGCTCTACAGAGCTAAACGGCCTAGCAGGCGCCACTTCAGGGGGTGGAGGAGGGAGGGCAAGGTCCTGAAAACATTTTAAAATTTAACGAACTTTTCTAACATAAGGTAAGCAAAAGTATTAGCTATGGAAAAGGAGGGAAATATGCCACATCATACAGTTTACAAATCTACATGTGTGTATTCATACATCAGAATTAATTGCTTCGGAATGCTCTCTCCATCTCTCAAAGTGTCAGATTTCCTCTGAGACTGAAGTTGGTGATACCTGAAGCTCTATTATGACCTACTACCAATCTCCCAGCAAAGCATGTTTTGAAGACGATTGAATCTCAGTGTAACTGCTCGCCTACTATCTTGAAGCAGTTGGGAATTTTCGAGTCTTCTACAAAGCGAAGGGAAAAGCTGCAAAATAAACAATGAAAATTTAACCTGCCCTTTGTATAAGTTTACTTTTATCCTCTGCTGAATACCAGTGTGGCAGATGTTCAGCCACAGCCCAGGTCTGGATATGCAGTGCCACCAAATAGCCCCACATACTATTTCCCCTTTTTTCTTCCAATCTACTGGAATAACGTGGCTAGGTCTATTTTGCCCTCAAAAATCAATGAGGATTTTGTTTGAGCTACTATTAGGTTCAGAAGAGAATACAAAAATAAAATAGAAAACAAATATGTGCACATTTCAATATTAAAAGCATGTTTTATATCCACATAGAATATACAAAACATTTACAGGCAAATTCAAAGAAGTAAATGATAAAATAACAGTACATACAAAAAATCTGCTGCAGAGATTCATTACATGTAATCTCCCAAACAGAATTCTTAAGCTACCTTCCATGTGAATTATTTCCTGGGAAAAAGCACAGCACGGAGAGTGGCCACTAGATGGCAGAGTTGCAAAGTCAGGTTAATAAGCTGGTCCCACACTTGTGAAAAGATGAGACTGCAGGATCATCCTTTTTCACCTGCAATTTTCTTAGCAGCACAGCTGCAGTAATGTTCCAAGAACAGAAATATCTGAGCTATGAATCAAGGTAAGACATGTAGAGTGGGATGACTATTACATCCCTTCCCCACAGTGATGCAGTACAGTGGCTTTCTAGTGTTCTAGCAAGGATGCACACCATTAGTCATCCAGAAATGATAGAGAAAAAAAGAGCCAAATATTTTTTCAATTAACAAACATTATTAGAATTTTGCTTAAAGGCCAAAAGTTAAAAAATTATGACTCTCTTTTTTGGGCTTTATTACACTTCAACATCTTTGTAGAAACAGAATTTCTGCATGAATTACGCATTTTCATATTTTGGCTTTGTCCTTTCCCAATGAATGGAACAGAAAACATCACATCTGGACAGACTCCGGCCTGGACTGTCTTATGCAGCCCTGGAGGCTCACAGCCGCTCTGCTCCGAGGGTCAGGAGGCTGCAGTGGCAGTGCGCAAGTCTGAGGTTTCTCTCAAAAATCTTTCACTACAGAATCGCCGCCTCCTTCTGCCGCTCCCTCTCCAGCTTGGCATCTCATTGTAAACCCACAATTTTGCATAACTGCTATCTAATTTGTGCAAGCAATTAATTAGATAACACTGTTATGTGTCAATTTTATAATGAATCTCGACCGTGCCATTTGTGTCTCAGGGAAATATCTGTCTCCACCAACATGAATCGGCCCACTGTGGCAAAAGACTGTGTGTACAGTGGACACGAAGAATCCCCCACTTGGCCAATAACTGCATCAGCAATGCTCTGCACACACAATACTCTCTCTCACTGCAGCTCAATGAGTCAACTCTGTTACTAACACTGTCTGAGGTGCTTGACAGGACACTGCACAGCTAAAAGTCTTTCGGATACGGGGTACTCTAAAGTCATGCTCTTTTTTCAAGCTTGAAACTATTTGCTAAAGGAAAATCATTATTCGCACTGAAATTTCTTTCATTCATTTGGAGATAAAAGTTGTGCAGAAGTTAACAAATAATCATGTATTTTGGTATCCAGAAATCCTTGACAGAGAGAGAGAGGAAGAGACTCACAGATCCTGATGAAAGCCCTCTCCCACCAGGAAGAGGTCTGTGGCATATGTATGTCCCTTCGTTTGTCCAACAAATGCGCTTTGCTTTTATCCTTTCACCTTACGTTGTACCTGGACTTCGCTTCTGAATTTTGCTTCCTTGTGTGTTGAAAATCCATGAAGCTTTCCATGATTAACCTAATTTTACTTTCCCACGGGTCACCCTTTGGGCATCTGGGGATCAGTCACTTCCTCACCAAATAGATCCTGAACACATGAGGTACACTTCCTCAGGCCACATGCTAAATGAAGCAATGGTCAGCAGTGTATCTCCTGGGGCACACATCTCTAACTGGTCACCATCAACACTTTCCTATCATGCCTCAATTTTTCTTTCTCCTGACAGTCTGTCTTTATTCCAAGTCACAGCTGTATGTGTGATCTTAAAGTTCTCACACTCTCTGGAAGTTACTTGCACAATTGATGATCTATGTGCAGTTCAGGCTTCTTGCTAATCTAAACGGGAATCAGTGATCCTACAAGAACCCCACCTCACTTATTCTCCAACCCCACTCTTCCTTCTCTAATAAACAAACTTACACACAGTGAGAAATCCAAATGCCATTATAATTACAAGTTTAATAAGACACAGGCGAAATCTACCCATATTTAATTCTTAACACTAGAAATGGGAATTGTTCACGCTGGACACCATGCATAAGCAGAAATGCACTCAATTCCTTGATTTCACAGAACAGAATGAGTTTCCAATGTGTCCACACAGGAAGTTATTAAAGAAATTACCTGCCCCAAGTACAATAAGAGGACCTAGAATTCCCTCTGAATTAATAAGCATGTCATACCCAAAGACTCCAGGGAGAATATAAGTGAGAGAGACAGTATTCCTCGGAATGGCCCAGATGACACTGTTCCACTGTGTCCTCTTAAGCATCAGTCTCTAACAGAGAGTTCACTGTAGACACAGAAAAGCAAATCCAAAGTAGAAGCAGGCTGAAAGCAAACCAAACCTTGGGTGGTAGAAGTCTGCTTCTTTTCGAACTTCTTCATGTGCCCATCAAAGCTGGTGCCCTTTGTGACTATGAAGCTCGACTATGGTTAAACTCGCTCAGCTTGTCATGAAGTTATGTAAGTGTCACCAGTGGCTTATGCACAAAATCACAAGCAGTTCCACCTCCTGGCAAAGTCCTAGAGTAGACGGAATTAGGGTTGGTCCTATTGATGTCTCCTGATTTAAAAGTACTGATGGCATGGTGATCTCTGCTATAAACCGAACTGTGTTCCACCAAACTCACACATGAAACCCAAACCAGGCAGGGTGGCACATGCCTATAAGTCTACCTGCTCAAGAGACTGAAAAGGGAGGATTCCAATGTTGACAATTTAGCAAGATTTAAGTCTCAAAAACAAAAGAAAACTAAACCACACATGGAATCCCTGACGCCTCATGTGACGGCAGTTGAGAGATGAGGCTTTTCAAAGGTAACTAGGATTAGCTGGGCTCATAGGGTGGTGCCCTAGTCTGGTGGGATTTGTGCCCTTATGAAAAGAGCACTACTGGAGAACTTGGTCTCTCTCTAGCTCCTCATGCACGTACGAAGGGACAGTCTCATGAGAACACAGCAAGATGGCATTCAAAAAGCCCTCACAAGAGCTCAACAGTGTTAGATCTTTGATCTTGGACTTCAATCTCCAGAACTGTGACAAAATGTTTGCTATTTAGGCAAACACATCTGTGGTTTTGTTATGGAAGCCTGAGCTGATATAATTCCTGAATCTGGATTTGGTGAGTTTGCCCATGAAAATACTGGTAGCACCACTGAAGTGATGAAATGTTGGAGAAAAAACAGAAATATGCTTTCAGCTTCTGAACTGAATATGATGTAGAACGTCAGATAGATAGAGAAAAAGTGATTCTCAAACTTGGTTGCACACTGGAATCATCTGGAAAGTTTTCAAAATATCGATGATTAGATCCTTTACATTCTAATACCATTGATCTAAACTGAGGCCCAGGTACTATGAGAACTCTCGGTTCTAACCTGTAGAAATGCCTCTGCATATAGAGACACATGTGTGCAGAGCGCTCCCTCACAAAGGTAGTCATGCAAGCAGAGTACTGGACATTTTGATGTACAAAGACTGCACACAGACACACACGCACATGCACATACATACACAGACACACAGACATGCACACACAGTTCACTTTATGTACACAAGATGATCCAAATAACAAAAATGCCTGGTAGTATAATTGAACTTTGACTTTGAGTAATCTGAGCTTGGTTCTTCTAAACAACAGACTCATTATAAATAAGCAGTGGACACACCCTTCAAACCACAGATATATGCCCACTCTTGCCTTCTGATGGGTGTCTCCCTGGGTAAGTCTATTTGTTGCCCCTTTGAGTCCTTTCTTGTGTTTCCCTCCCACCTCACTGCCTTCTCCTGCCACCATTTTGCTTTTTTGCACTGATTCAGTCTCCCAAGTGCCTCTCCCTCGCTGGCCTCTAGGAGGTGGTGTTTTCCTGGACTTCCTACACAGGACAAAATCAGTTGTTCAGCCCTCACTTTCACCATGATTCCAAAGTACACCCCTCTGTAACAGGCTGTTTTCTGCTTGGTTAGCTATGATATACATACTCTGAAATTCATACCAACAAAACATACCACCATTAATGATAAATGACATGGGGCGTGTGAGGGCAATGTAGCCATTGACCATCAGCAACAAAACCTCCCTTGAAATAAAATTGTTCCTTCCGTGACATTTTTTCTGGATGGATGACATTACATGGAAGCAAACAAGAAAACTTCAAGTCAACC